TCACAACAGCTATGAGAAAGGCATAAAACTGACAAGATAAGGGTAAAACCTAGTGGTCAATTCAGCTGAACAGACTAGATTGTGTCAATCAGAGGAAAAGGGCATCAGGATCGATATTGGGATCTCTGGTGTTTCGGAATTGATACGTCAGCCAAACTCCGATAACCTGATAACGGGTAGGATTAGAAAGATAGAATCAAAGAAAAACAAGAAAAACAAGAGGGGAACTGTATACGGACCTCACTGAAGCTGAAGAAAAGTCCAAGCAGTCCAACTCGTGCAAGATTATTGCTTGTCGCTTCAACAATAACGGGAAGGCATGGTTCACAGCTGTTCCAGCAAGGAAGCTAAAGCAGAGAGAGTATGATTGGAATCTACTACGTTCTAGGATGGATCGAGGTATTTAACTGACACAGTGCAAGAGATAACAAAGGAACGAATGCATACAATCCAAAAAAACAGTAATCACAAGGCAAAAGAGCAAGATGACATACATTTTTTGAAAGCTTAGAAAGATGAAGACTATCAAACTAGGGACTACACTGACTAGGACTTGAAAGGAATTTTACAGTGAAACCTCACCTTCCTGCAATCCTGCTTGAGCATGTCTTCATGATCCAAGCCACAACAGGTGAACGCTTTTTGAGCATCCCACCTTACAGCATTGTCTGACCTTGTCCATCCTGATGTGACCAACTGTAATGCGCACACACTCCAAACAGTTGCATGATCGGCTTATCTGTTTTTCATGAAGGAGTCAAGCTGCTTACCTCCTCTAGACTGTCTTCAGAAACATTTCCAAGACAGACTACAGCCACGATGAACTGTATAATGAACACACATGTTAGGATCACCATATACTAAAAAAACCTCATGACATCATACTCTGAGATATATCACCAGAAAATGTCATGCAATGATGCCTGAAAACACACACAATCCACCAAAAATGCTTATTCCAGAGGAGCAGAATTTTGATTATGCCAGAATGTTGAGAAAAGGATAAAACTGAAAACACTTACAAAAAACAGTGCTACTTGATGCTGATGTTTTGTGCCATACATTCCAAGTAGTGCTACCATGATCAAAAATACACCAGCGGCAATGATGCCCCCTTGAGCAAATGGCATTTGGTAGATTAAACAAATGCGATACATTCAAACATAATGATTTTAAAGAAGAACTTTCCTTATACGTTTAAAAGTAAAAGTACTAATAAAAGCATTGCGAACCTAACACTGAAACAGATGTAACTATTGAGGCTGATTTCGCATACGCGCTGGTGCAGATAAGGAGTACACCGACTGCCTGAAGAAAAGAATTTTCAACATCAGAGAATTAAGAACAAACTAAAGTTTGGAATGAGGTGAAAAGAAATAGTTGTCTGAAAAAATTATAATCCACTTACCACGTAGAAGATGTTGAGCGTTTGAAGAGCTCTCTGCGTGAAATCATAGCTACAT